ACTTCCAAAAAGCATGAGTGGAAATCCCCCTCCAGATATAACCCCACCCCTGCAACTGGCATCTGTCTACTGAGTCTTTTTAGATGTGTGGCAATGTGAGAAAATTCTGCTGCCAATCCCTTTGCATTTAGAGGTTTGCTCTGAATGTACCTCTAAAGTCAGCAGCTGGTCTCCACCATGAGAGTGTTAAACTCTTGTGGAAGTGAGATAAACTTAGATGGTGGGCTCAGAGGAAGTCCCAAAGAGCAGCTGTCCCTTTGCTGGGTATCTGAAATGCTCTTAGTGTGGGTGTTTGGAAGATGTTCCTCCCCTATGGGGAAAGGGAACCAAGCCCCTGTTTTTCAGTGCTGAGGCAGATTGAGAAGGAAAGATGCGGGAAGCTATGACATGCCCCTGCACTGTGGACAGTGGTTACTCTGTCTCCAGAGAGGAGGTGACCATTGGCAACCTTCCCTCAGCTTCCCAGAGGACTCTGTCAGAATGAAAGGATGGATATTAGGGTTGAAAGACACCAGGTAAGAAAGAAAGCCAGTTCCATTAGTGTCCCCAAGACAGGACTTGAGAGAGTAGGTATCAAGGAAATGCCAGAGAGGAACCTGGCTCTCACCCAAGGCTGCCATCTTCCTGTTAGTGTCTTCAGTGAGTTCCACGTCATCTGGATTCTTTTGTCAGAGAGAGAGAGATCAAGAAAGTAGGTATGAAGGAAATGCCAAGGAGGAAGCTGGCTCTCACCCACGTCTGCCATCTTCCAGTTAGTGTCTTCAGTGAGTTCCACGTCATCTGGATTCTTTTGTCAGAGAGAGATCAATATAAAACAAATGCCTCAAGCTCACAGTCCCTGAGCTGTGAGATCCTGAGTGTCAGGGAGACCCTTGTAGACAAGGGTGCAGAGGGTCTCCCAGGAATTGTGTGGCTTTGGATTATTGGAACTAAGCCTGATATGGTCTGTGAAGGTTCTGGAATCGGTGTCATAACAAAGTCTCAGAACTCACGAGGGGCAAGGAAAGTTCCTAGAGGTAAGGGCTTCCAAGAGGCCAGATTTAAGAACACTTTGGTGCATCTTGAACTCGTATATGAAACTCATGTTGTCAGCCTTTACAATAATTTCTAATAGTCTGGACACTTAGGCTCTAGGGATTGTGTTTATTCATGTTGGGAACCTTCAGCAGAGCAGCTTTAAAATGTTTCAATTGTTGTTAAAAAGGCAAAAATTACTTATATTTAAAAGTAAGAGCCTTCAAATGAAGATGAACAAGGGAAGCAAAGGTGTTGAGGCAGATGTCAGAGTTGGGAGGTGTGTGGTACTCAAGACTAAGCCACCAAATGGGGTTCCACACACCTGGGTTGGTAACAAAGTACTCAGTACCTCCTGCTAAGTCTGATAGTCCCAGTCAGTAGCAGCTGAAAGCATACAAGCAACCCCCAGTAACCTTCATACCCCCAGTAACCTTCATACCCCCAGTAACCTTCATACCCCCAGTAACCTTCATAACCCCCATTAACCTTCATACCCCCAGTAACCTTCATACCTCCAGTAACCTTCATACCCCCAGTGATGGGGAATGTACTGTGTAAGTTTATCTTATTGATTGTTAAATAAAGTTCTGTTTGGCCAATGAGACAGCAAGTTAGACAGGACTAGGAGTCAAAGAGGATTCTGGGAAAGTAGTAGAGAAGTGGTGATCCAGGCCGGAAGTGACATAGCAGGGAGACTCATATAAGCAAAGAGAAACAGGAAGTGTCCCCTTTTCCCCTTCCTCCTGCAGCGGCACCATGTGAGTCACCAGCAAGAGAGGGTGCCAGCGAAAGGCATCCTCCATAATTTAAGTCTCATCAAATATATAGATTTATGATAATTAAGACTGAGCTAACAGATGAGAAGTCCTAGTCATTGGCTAAGCAGCATTTGAACCTAATACAAGTTTCTATGTATTCATTTGGGCCTACCTCGGGCAGGCAGAAAGATTTATCGTAACACCCTAGTAACCTTCATACCCCCCAGTAATCATCATTACCCACAGTAAACTTTCAAGATGGCAGACACCAGAAGTTACCCTACCAACAAATGGCTGGGTTTCTGACCACAAAGCCCAAGTGATTTGCACAAAGCCATGCTTTCCTTCAGTGTTGAAGGCCTGCTGTCTGAAGAGGTGCTTCCTAGCTAGGGTAAGCAGAGAAGGGCTGCCCTCTAGGTCAGATGCCCAGCCTTCAGGACTGGGCAGTACTGGTTTACTTTGTTTAACTTCAACCCTGAGGGTTACAATCCCTTACTAATTTTTATGAGAAAGCTATTTAGAGATTTTCATATCTAGAAATTTAAATCACTAGAATATCAATAGTAAGTTAAAAGTTTTGTTAAAACTTCTCTTGCCACAGGCCCACTATAAAGTGATTAGGACATGATATGCATGGTGTATGTGTGTGAGGTATGAGCTCAGTGTGTGTATTATGTGTGCTGGTGTGTGGAGGCCACATGAAGGTGTCCTCATCATTCTCCACCCTTTTCCTTTGAGTCATGGTCTTTCCCGAGTTCAGCTTTTTAGGCTAAATCAGCAGCTGGAAAGCCCCAGCGATCCTCCAGTCCCTGCTGGGGTTAGAGGTGCACAGGCCACACCGGGCTTGGTCTGTGGGTGCTGGGATGGAAACCCATGTTTGCAACGCATGTTCTCCTATTAGCTATGCCATCTCTCCACATACCAGGCTTGGTCTGTGGGTGCTGGGATGGAAACCCATGTTTGCAACGCATGTTCTCCTATTAGCTATGCCATCTCTCCAGCCCCTCAACTATATAACCGTGACTGTGGTAATAGCAAAACATGATAGAATTAGGATTTGGTGGCATAATCTCTTTTATAAAATAGATTGCTACCTCAGTTTGGTGTCCAAGCTTCAGTTCAAGTTTCTTTTGTCTGGTTTTTAAATCTTTTATCAGTGTGATCAAGAGCTTACAAAAGGGACCCTGTTCTGTGGTGTGGTGACAGGGAGAATTGCCCAGTGAGGGTACCTGCTGCTACTGGAGGCAGAGAACGAGGCTGCAGGTACTCAGTATCATCCAGGTGAGGGATCTCGTGGGACCAGTGACCTCCCAGGAGTCCTTCAAGAGCTATTCTGCAGGGGTTTTGTCTTCACAACTGTCCCTAAGGACCTTAAGATAAATGCCACACGGACTCCATCAGCTGCTGGGCACTGGGGCTCTTTGAGGAAACCAATGCAGAGAAGCTGTGGCTCCATTGCCTTTGACACAAAAGCCTCACAGATCTAACTGCCATAGCCTGTGGCCCCTCAGAACCAATTTCCTCTCCCTTCCCTCCTTGGAGAGAAGGAAGGGGAAACAGGGACACGCCCAGAGCCAGCTGCCAGCCGGACACATGAGGCAGGAAAGTAGGACACACAGAAAGAAAGGTAAAATACCTCAAGGAAAATGTAGATAAAGAGAAACAGACGAAAATAAGAATAGAGCAAAGGCTAAAAATTCATAACTAATAATAAGTCACCATGTCATAATTTGGGAGCTGGTTATGGCACAAAAGAGAGCCTGGTACACATCCCCATACAATTATCTTCCCCACAGGTTATAATCTTCACAGCTATGAGACTTCCAGTTCCCTCCCTGAGCATCCACAGCAGTTCTGCCTCTGACCGCAGTGTGTTTTACTTAGTCAAAGACATCGAGACAAGGAGGCGTGTCTAGCTGACCCCTGCAGAGATGAACACATGCCCCAGGGCTGCACACCCAGTCAGAGGACTGCTTCAGTCTGGATCCAGCTCTGCTGTGCACTCCACACTCCCCAGACTCTTGCTCTCAGGAGTTCAACTGATACCTGCTGAGACCCCACCCTCATCTTCCCGGAAGGCCCAGATGTTATGGAGTGAGTAGCCCTTTTGTACACTGTGAAGATGGGCTGCTCTCACTGCTTTAATAAAAGGTGGTGCCCAATAGCTAGGCAGGAAGAGGTTAGGCGGGACTTGTGGACAGGGATGAAGAAAGGCAGAGTCTCCAGGAGACACCGAGAGAAGCAAGATGAACTTGTGCTGGGAAAAGATATTGAGCCACGTGATAGTACATGGATAAGAAATATGACTTAAAGTAGTAAGAGCTAGTTAGCAACAAGCCTCAGCTATCGGCTGAGCTGCATAATAAGTATCTGTGTCAGTTATTGGGGAGCCTGTGGTCCCGACAAGAACTCTGCATACACTCAGCCTTTGCTTTGAGTGTCTCCCTTGAGAAATGGGCTGTGGATCCCACAGGGACCCCCGACTGAGCTTCTGGAGTCAACAACAGTCTAGGGGCAGGGCTGGAACACCCCCTTCCCTGCAGGCCAGGACTGCACCATGACTTGTCAGACTTTTCCCTAACTGAAGAAGTGCAGATTCCAATGTCCAATCAGGTTCCGACATTCTGCCACATCATCAGTTACTAGGGGAAGCTGCTCCTGGAGATGTCCACAGCACCACAGCCTTGTCCAGCTCTAGGGAACGTGAGAGATGGTGGTGACTTCACCTGAAGTGGATGAACTGGCATCACCTTTGTCATCTCCATCATTAACCTGAGGGGCAGTAAGTGCCAGGCTAAAGGTTCCTGGCTTGCTGTCATCTTCAGTCACCTCCTTTGCTCCCACAAACTTCAAACACACAGTCGTGCCAACAGCCCTGTGTAGGAGGTGAGCGCTCCCCCAGTGCTCACAGTGATGAATGAATTACGAACCACAGCAGAGCTGACTCAGCACTGGAGCTGACTCAGCACTGTGGGCTGATTAATGTTTCAGCTGCAACTTAATCAAGCATTAAAAACACTAACTAGAAAAGAAATTTCTGTTTCCAAAGAGGACCCTCATACTGAATTTCTAGCTAGCAACTGATGATGCTGCTCACATCTGATACTGATTGGCTCCCAAGCACTGACTTTACTCAACACAGCACCAAAGCAGAGAATCCCCTGGTCCCGCTAACCTGGGTGTAGACAGAGACGGGAGATAGTTTCCAGGGTGGGAGACCACCATCCAATCCTCCACCATGATGGGTCCCTGGCTCCCCAGAGGCTCCTGTGTGGCAGCTGTGGTCCTGACCCTGATGGCCCTGAGCCCTCGGTGGCTTTGGTCAGGGACCCCAGATGTAAGTGCAAACCTCAGGGGCTGAACTGCTGGGGGTGGGGGAAGGAAGGGGCCAACATCCTCACTGTCCAGGTCAAGTCCCTTGACTCTACTGATATTTTCTGTGACTAACCACATCCTCCCTTGAAATCCAAACTATTTCCCCAAATAG